GAAGTAATAGCAGGAAAACAATGATAATCACGAAGGTAGTTTGGAGGCTTTCTTACCCAAGTAGGATGACTCGAGGATGGGACAACAAGCTCATTTGTAGACGTGGAAGTAGAAGAAGGCTCAAAATTATCTAATGCATGTCCAGTAGGCAGATCATCTTCTATAGAACTGGTTGGAGCATGTGGTGAGGCATTGTAGAGCTCATCAAATGTACTTGCATTAGAATCACTAGGAAATAGCTCAATAGAAGGATTAGTAAAATATTGAGGTTGATGAGAGGATGACACTTTGAAGTTTGACAATGATGAGAACATTGTGTGTTCCCAAAAGACAACATGACGTGAAACTCGGAGTTTTTGTGATGCATGATCCCAACAACGATATCTTTTTTGTGTAATCCCATAACCCAAAAAATAGCATAATTGAGCTCTAGGTTCTAACTTGTTATGTTCATGAGGTGGAAAAAGAACAAAACATGCACAACCAAAAACCTTAAGGAGATTATAAGCAGGAAGAATAACATGTAGACGCTCATATGAAGACTGGTTATTAAGAATTGATGATGGAATGCGATTAATAAGATAAGCAGCTATAAGAGCAGCCTCACCCCAAAATCGCTTTGGACAAGAAGATGAAATGAGCAGAGCACGAACAGAATCAAGGATTTGTCTGTGTTTGCGTTCAGCTCGCCCATTTTGTTCAGAAGTATAAGGACAAGATTGTTGTGGTAGTGTACCCTGTTCTTTCAAAAAATATTGAAGTTTAGTACCAAGATATTCAGTGGCATTATCAGTTCTCAAAACTTTGATAATTTTAAAGAATTGGGTTTTGACCATGGTAGCAAAATCAATATAAATTTGTGATAATTCAGAGCGACTTTTTATAAGGTATATTCAGGTAAAACGAGTATGATCATCAATAAATAACACGAAGTACCTGGAACCCCCCATGGTGGGTGTAGAAGATGGACCCCAAACATCAGAATGCACAAGATCAAAAGGAGTAGCAGAATGAGAATGGCTACTCGAAAAAGATAAAGCTGGTTGCTTTGCAAATTGACATGACGCACAATGCACAGATTCATTCGGAACTGATCCTAATAAACCACGTGAGATAAGTAGATGAAGTTTATTGACAGAGGTATGTCCGAGTCGTGAGTGCCACAAATGGAGAGGAGAAATGTTAGTAGCAGCACAAACTTGGAAGATTTATTGATATGGAATTTGCAAAGACTCTAATTCAATAGCACAAAGCAGGGTTTGGATGAATCGATCATTTGGAAATGATGGTGTATCCATTTTATTATCAGGAATATGCAAATAGTTGAGCTCAAACAAATGCCCCACCTTGCGACCAGTTCCAAGAAGTTGTCCTGTTCGTGGGTCCTACACACGACAACCATGAGCAGAAAATGTTACTTCAAGACCAAGATCGCATAATTAACCGACAGATAAAAGATTATAACTAAATTTTGGAATTAAAAGGGCATTTGGTAAAGTCAATGACTTTGTAGAAACATTACCAATATGACTAATATTCATAGGGGAACCATCAGTAGAATAAATATCAGGAAATGAATTATTAGGTGACATTGAAGAGAAATGAGCAGTAATTGAAGACATATGGTTACAACAACCAGAATTGAAATACCAAGGTTTGGTACCCGGAGCAGTAGATAAGGCAGTAGGAGCATTAAAAAGATTTAATATCACCTGTTTTAGGGATTCAAGGTTGACATTAGGTTGTTCTATCACTTCTTTGGCAACCGTAGCAGTAGCAGAATGAGTTGCAATCCTTTCAATACTCGTCATAGAATCAGTAAACTCACAATACTGAAAAACTGAAAAACTCTAAAAATATGGAGAAATAGATGCTAAGATCGAAATAACAAACCAACAAAATACCTCAGAAATGGTCTGAGAATCGAAGATAAACAATCCAATATGTATGAGAAGAGATCCCAATGACAAAGTTTCAGATCTGGAATGGAATTGAAAATCCAACTCCAAAAAACCCAACA